ACTAAAAGCAGCTTCTCAATGTCTGAGGGCGAAGTCGTACTGTTGATTGCAGAGGGGTGTGACTGCAGTAGGGTGTTTCTCTCGGACAACCAGCATCTGCAGTGATGATGCCGTCACACAGAGGAAGGAAGGGTTAGAAAAGGTCGGCCCTAAAAATGTCACCTCACCTTACCTCACAGATTTCCCTCTCATGCGGTAAGGCCTTTTAAGCAAGAGCAAAGCTAACACATTTAAAACGTCCCTTTAAAGGGCCGTGTGTGACCGGCCCCAAGCAGTTGTCTCTTTGGGCTCTGTGGTCATGCTTCCAGATCTCTAAGACCCACGCTAATCTGCATTTTTTCTGAAGTACGTCAAGAAACACCCCTCGACGATGTGGGCACCCGGTAATCAACATCCGCCTTCCTACATGTAACAGAACACGAGTCCAAATTGTTCACAGTCATATCCTTCCTACAACCTCTAATATCTCTCTCATCTCCATGGCTAAGCCTTCTCACATTCACTTATTACCGTGCACTAGTAATAAAAACGATCGGAGTTCATGCAACATTATTCGTGGTCTCCTGAGACCTCGTAATAAACTGCTTGTTGGAGCTTTTATTATCTGCATATTATGTCAATTAGGACAACAGCCATTCTTAGCTAAAACTTTTGAATCTCACACCGTCGATGTATGCTGTGTCTTCGAAACGCGTATACAGGATCCAAGTAGCGTCATTCATTTGACCTCACCATGTCAAAATAATGATTCAGCTCGATTTACTGTACGTGTATCTGGAGGCCCTGCATCTGCTTCCCGCGGCCTCGCTTGCGTAGGTGTAGCATTAAGTCGTAAGACAGAACTAGCTCTTCTAGTACGGATCCCGGTAGATTATCACTTATGCGCTGTCCTAATTAACGGGACGGTACGAACTCGTAAAGATAGGGACATTGGCCGTTGCCTCTTTGTTGTCTCGCAACCACTTCACTCCCTATCACTAGTTCAGGTGCCGACGCAAGCCAATCTACATGCAACATTTCGCATTTTGAGAGGGGAAAACCGCATCCCCAACATGTATGCATTGTTTCTTAGGGTAGTCAGGAGACCTCTTCACCAAATAGAACTATATTATCGACACCACTTGAAGTAACCAATGCCGATGACAGTTCGCCATAAGCTCTAACTTGACCAGTTGTGTTCGAGTAGAGAGCTTGTATAAGGTTAATGTACTTCTCTGTTACATCTTCTCGAGCTCTGTTTAGGCGTCGGAGTATTATTGAGTTCAATATTTTAGAAACTACATTAATCAGGCTGATTCCTCTATGATTGTCAAGAGGAGACATCCGTCCTTTCATATAGACTGTTACAATCAGTGATTGAGACCAGTTGTATGGGATTACGCCCAGTTCCCAGATTCTACCTAAGATCTCAGTCAATCTAACTGTTAAAACAGAACGATGGAGGACGTGAAAATCAAAACAGGAGCTGATACAGCTACAGATCACAACATGCTGGTCGCCAAGATAAAACTGAAAGTCAAGAAGAAAAGGACAATAGGGCGAACAATACTGCTTTTCTTCGGAATACTGGCAAATGCAACGAATTCAAGATAGCTCACAACGATTAGTTACGAGCCTTTCACAGTCTACTCAACGAAGAGGAAACCACCACGGAGAATGACTGGACATACACCAAAGAAGCATTAACTTCAGCACATCATGAGGTTTCGGGCCACACATATCAACTTCACAGGGAATAGATCTCTGTGGATACTCTGGATAAGATTCATAAGAGGAAGCGCAAGAAGGCAGCAATCAACAATACATGGACAATAGCAGAGAAAGCCAAGGCACTGACGGAATACTCAGAAGCAAACAAGTAAGTGATTCGGAGCATTAGAAACGATAAACGTACATATTTTGAAAATCTGACAATGGTAGCAGAAAAAGCTGCAAGAGAAGGACATTTGAGACAATCATACGATACAACAAAGAAGCTCACTAGAAAATACAGTAAACCAGAATGAACAGTCAAGTACAAGGAAAGCAAAGCAATTATCGACATTGAAGTAAAGCGAAACAGGTGTTTAGAGCAGCTTGAAGAACTCTTGAATTGAACAGTCTCCTGTTCCGCCTTATCATGCAGACTGGTACTAGGAATCCATCTGTTAGCGCAACTATCCCGGAAGAGGATGGTCGAATCATTGATTTTGAGCCCAGGAGGTTGGATCGATGGGCAGAACATTTTGTGGGTCAGTTCAACTGGTCTTCAGCAACACTACGGTTGACCACGATCTCCAGTCAACATGAATGGCAAATCGACTAAGTCCTCCGACTTCTAATGAAGTAAGGAAAGCTGTAGGAAATCTGAATCGAGGGGAAGCAGTGGGTCCGAACAAGCTTGCATTGTTGCGCATGGTAGTCAGGAGACGCAGTATTTTGTCAGCGTCTTCACTAGTAGGACTATGTTATCGTCCTATTCTAAGCCAATCAATGAATCTTCTGGTAGAAGATCTACTCCTGAAAATTGAGACGAAGATAATTTCATATCTAGGAGCAAGTGTATGACAATATAAACAGTAATGGAGAAAGCAGAAATTTCTGATAGACTCCACTTGAAGTAACCAGCTCCAATGACAGTTCGCCATAAGCTCTCACTCGACCAATGGTGTTCGAGTAGAGTGCTTGTATAAGGTAATGAGCAAGATGTTGTATGAAAATCGACTTATATCGGTACCTGAACTAGTGATAGGGAGTGAAGTAGTCGAACGTGTAGACCGCTTCACTTACCTAGGGAGTCTCATCAATACCGATGGCCTGATGACTGACGAAATCTCGGCACGGATACAGAAGTCTCGATTGTCAACTTGCGTCACTTATGGCGAAGGCGAGATATCCGTTTGATAACCAGAGTACGATTGTATTGTGCAGCAGTTCTCTCCGTCCTAGTATACGGATGCGAAACATGGCCAGTCAGAGTAAAAGATATTCTTAGGTCACTGGTTTCCGGTCATAGGTGTTTCCGAAGCATTGTTCGAGTATCGTGGGACAGCCGAGTAAGTAACTCTATCGTTAGGAAACGAGCACTATGTAGGGATGGCCAAACCAATTGGAGTATTGAAACTCCATCATTTGAAGTGGTTGGGACATGTTTTACGTATGCCCAACCACCGACGGCATCGTCGAGTAATGTTTTGTGGTGTAGGAGTAGGTTGGAAGAAAGCTAGTGGCGGCCAGACCAAAACATTGTAGAAATCTATGAAATCACCTACAAGTGGATTGAATCATGTTGGTAGGTGTAGGCCACCTGTTTGGGTTCCGCGAGATGGTGGTAAGAGATGTTTAGAGACTGTGAACGACATGGCCTAAAAACGTTTGCAATGGCGCAGGTGTACTCATTCATTCTGTGCTCTGAAATTCTAATTTTCTGAATTTCTCATCACCTCTAACTTCCTCGTTCTCATTTTATTTCACTGAATTTCACTTCTTGATTGATTTTTTCGAACCCTAATCTTCTCCATTAACGCTGCTGCTTCTACTATTTCTACCACTATGCGATTGAAACTGACAATTTCGTCTCTATGCTAATCTGTTATGACAACCTGAACTGATGTACTTACTCACGATGTTCTGCGTTGTGACTGATTAACTGAATGTTGTAAAGAATGAAATTTTCGGGAATCTTTCAAGTTGTTCTTAGGCGTACCATAGGCGTCGTAAACTTAGATTTAATAAGTAAGAATCATGAATGAATCGATGTTGGAGAAAAAAGTTAACCACTTTACTGTAAACGTTTGTTCACACGCTGACTACACTATTCTAAAAAGTTACTTTACATGTCAACTTGCAATCAGTAAGGGTATTGTTGGTGTTTTTTAATAAATTTGCATTAAGGATCAGTAATTCCCCGACATTGATACAAGGTGATCAATCCCTGTTTATTGAAAAATGTTAAAAAATGATCTATGATAATTAGAAGTATTTGATTTATAGCATGAACTAATAATCCCAGAAATAACGTAAGTGGATCAAGAACTACTAGATAAGCACAAAAGAATGTACTGTATTTAGAATTCGAAATAAGGCATTCAACAACCAAGAAGTCTCTAGTTCATTCAAACACCACATGATCCCAAACCACTTTCGACAAATTCAGCTACATCAATATATCACAAACGAAATCCGAAATTAATTTATTGTGTTTCTGACAACCGAAATTGTAAGATTGCTGAGTTATTTGTTATGTGATTGTAGGATTTAATTTGTCCTACAGATGTAATTCTGGAACGGTAAACGCAATATTGGCGAGCACAGAGTCTATGGGAAAGCCAGAGTTAAAACAAGATCAACTTTTGCTTTAAACTTTATCTGTTTCTAAACATAAAAACAATTAGATTAGTGCAATAAATAAAGAAATTACAATTATCAAGTAAGACGAGCAAACGTACCGACCAATATAGCGTGTCTTATGGAAATAAGTCAAGTTATGAGTCACATCAATATAATAAGATAATAATGTCAATCAATTTGTAGGTCATTTACAACAAAGAATGTTTACAGACGCGTCAAATCAGATCAGGTGATGGGCGCTTAAACCACAATTTGATTGATTAGCTATGACATAACTACAATTAGTTACAAAATAACTAACAGTCATTGCTGTGATTGTGGTGGTGTTTCATTCTCTGAGCTGCATGTGATTACTTTATGTGTATGTATGTAAACGCATAAATAAAAGACGTTATTGTATTACTGTTGTCCAGCTTCTAACGCATTTTATACAAAGAGACCGTCAGATCACCGAAAGACTAATTTTAAAAATAGCTTTACCCACCTATTTCGCTGAATATATGTAACAGGCTAACAATGTGACAAATAAAAATAAGATTTAATCCTTAGTAAATGTTTCTGAATATTGTTTTAAGTAGAAGAGTACTTTGCTATCAGTTGGAAATATTTTCTTGTTTTTAACTGACTGAAGAAAAAACCTTCACATTTGATTATTTTTACACACTTTTTAGATTTCACAACTGTTTTAGCTTGTACACGCAACAACACTTTAGAAATTGTAGATTTACGAACGAATCAAGTTATTCAATGCCTAAAAGCTGATGGTTTTCAAACAGGTTTAGACATAGTTCGCCCATGTTTCTCACCTGACTCAGATTATGCAGCTGCTGGTGGACATGATGGGGGAGTATATATTTGGAGTACAGTTTCAGGGAATTTAGAAGTCTGTCTTCGTGATCACACGTATGTTATGATTTCTGAAATTGTCATCTATAGTTGAATGTACTTAAAAATTGCTATCTTTAATCAACTGAATTTTTTATTAAATTGCTATCTATTTCTCTATGTGATCGATTTTATCAGTTATTTTTTGTCTCTCGGATATTTGAAGTTTGTTTATTTGATATACACTATACACTCAACCCTTGTATTGAATAATATTAAGAATAAACAATTAAGTACATATAAGAAAAGTATTATTTCATTGTCTGATACCATTGATAGACCACTGGAACTTTCGTTTTCTTCTTCCTCAAGGTACAGGGTTATCACTTTTTCATATTTTTTTGCTTACATGGCTCGGTATCAAGTAATTTCATTCTGATTTAGCAATCAGGTTTTAATCAATATTTTATCTGTTAGACAATATACCACCACCTCATATTAGTAACTGTATGATTGTTGTTTTATTTGTTTAATGTTATTCTGAACTAGATTACCATATTTTGTCATCCAATATATACCATTTACACGAAATATCTCTTAGTATTTTCATGAACATGCGAAGGAGGATTGTTTTAGAAATGTTCCTTTAATTCTAACTTTGAACAAAATTAATACAATAAATTAAAATTATATAATAAAATATAATGAATATTCTTAAAGAATAATTATATACGAAGAATAAGTGCACAGGGTAAATTTTGTTTGAAAACATATACATAAGATTTTTAAGATACTTTATTTACTTTTAAGTATCGTACTTGTAAAACCATGAAGCCAAATTGATAGAAATGAGTTATTAGTAGTAGCATCAATTTGTGTCGTATTTTGTGTCTTTGTTTGGTTTGATGTACAATGATCGTTAATTAAGAACGATCCAGAATACTCTACTCTATTACCAACTCGATAAGGTGGAGACTAGTACACAATTCTCCAATTATAATACACCGCGGTAAAGGTGGCAACTTTGTACTTTACAAAGACAAATTCAAATAAACCAGCCTTATATGTTTGTATGTGTATCGATTAATAGTTCAGGAGGACAATGGAGGACGTGATAAACAAGAGAGGAGCTGATATAACCTCAGATCACCACTTGCTGGTCGCCAAAATGAAACTGAGATTCAAGAAGCACTGGACAATATATATATATATATATATATATATATGCGAAAGCATGACCTTTGGACATAAAAGATTGACAAACTAAAAGTTATGAAGAATAATCAGATGATAACAAAGGTTAAGTGAAAATATAAATCAAACATTTGTATTCTTGGTTATCGTTACAAGAAATCTTTCAAACTTTCTCATAAAGCCAAGTTACGTGGAATCTTAGTAATATCAGTGTTCGATATAGAAGCAATACTCATAAACTAATATCTCATGTTAACCTGTTATAGTGCTCCTATTTATTTACAAACTTCTTGGGCTAAATTTTGAAATGGATTCACTTTCAATACACATTTTAGCTAAAAACCCAACCAATCCGTTGTCTTTGGTTGCCATGATTAGTGTCCATATTATTGCTTTAATGAAAGTAAACCCTACTTGAGTAATATACCTTTTCGGATACGTTAGCTCATAACTCTCAATATGTATCAGGTATTGAGGTGACTTCGAGATTGGCTATACTTCATGCTTAACTAGAATGTTTACAAGTTGCTATCTTGCATGTTTCAATAATGAGTTTTCAAATGAGTTGTGCTGTCGCGTCTTTGATTATTCATATTTATAATTCAATTTCTTAACATTCACATTAGAAATACTCTAAATTGTTCTCTCATTTTATAATCTATCTTTACATACAGTGTGCTTACAACTCCGTAAATCTACTATTGTCCCATACCATTCAGTTTAAATTTGACTTAAGTTTTTTCTCATTTTTCTTCATTTCAGAAATATTGTCGTCTGTTGTCATTGGAATCCGAATGGTAATTCTCTGGTTTCATGTGAACGTATCAAGAAAGCAATTGTTTGGTCTAGTTTGTAAAGGTTCATGATTATGGTGTTTATTTACCCACTTACATATAGTCTTCCAAGTAAATATTCTCTTTATTCTGACAACTTTAATCGCTCCAATTGTCATTTGTTTTTGTCATGCTCTTTCTCACCAGATATTTTCCCTTATTTCTTTCTCTCTCTCTCTCTCTCTACATTTATTTGTGATTTTCTATCACATAAGTGATAATGATTGTAATAGGTTTCGTTTGATGTATAATTATATGAATCAACTTACTATTTATGTATAGTATTCGTGATTAACTTATGTTTTATTTAAACAAAGAAAGATGATATTGAAAAAATGCGTTTCTTTTTATGTTCCTCTATTCATGAATGTGTGTTATTTATAATATTGATTGTTTTCCTCAGATTTGCTGTTACTTGTATCTTTAAAATAAGTAGTCAACATTTTAGCTTCTGTTAATTATATATTACAGTGTTAATATGGTATAACAACCTAAGTCAATACATACTTGTGCCAGTCCCTACTTTGATTACCACTATTTTAACATCTTTTTTTAATGGAAAAAAACATTTAGTATTTTTTATTTATGTAAGTCCAGTTCACATTCGAACAAGCCACCCAAATTCAAATAGTGTTAAAGATGTTTTTGTGACTTCAAGTAAATTACCGTGTACCCCAGTAAAAGTCGTTGATTGTAACATACACCATTAGAAACTTGGAAGCACTGCACGGCCGTCTCGTCCTGGTATGGAAATCATTAGCAATGCGCATCCACGACTTCTGCACCCCGCAGGATTCGAACCCAGGACTCTCGGTATTGTGCGCGAACGCCTAACCACTGGGCCGGTATTTAACGGTGACAATGTCTAACTTGATCAATTCACGGTCTTGCGCAGCCTTATACACAGTCTTCGGTAGTTACTGTTTATACCCGAACAGGTTGAAGTTCACTGGTCTCGACTTCCTACTAGAACTCGGAGAAGATTCCTCACGAAGCTAGTCACTAGTGAGCACAGGTAATTTGCATTACGGAGTTGTGAAGATTATTAAGTTACACATTTTTGAAACCATGAATCGATCAATGTTAGACCACCATTAGAAACCTGGAAGCACTGGACGGCCGTTTCGTTCTTTTATGGGACTCATCAGCAGTGATCAAAATGAGTACAAGTAATCCAAAATAATCTTCAAGAGCGAGTGCCTCAGAATAGAAGATATTATTTTTTCAGAGCACCGTAATAAACTTACATTACGGACCAATGATTTCCATTTCTTTCATTAGTGATCGTTAATTTTTGTAATGTTCTGTGTATATAAGATAAAGATTTTGATTCGGTCTCATTACTCTATCAGTTTCTTATCGTTAGTGCTCACATTTTGTACTTCACTTCTTAAGATTATTAACAAGATGGAGAAAATGGTTTTTATGAATAAATAGAAGTAATTATAGTACGTGAATTCAAGGTAAATTTTCTCAGGACTCAATAGTACTGCTACTCGCGTTTATGGAAAAAGAATAATAGAGTGATTATTATACAGTTGCTCATCGAAATTCATAACCTCCATTTACATTTTAAAATAGTTACCTCAACTGTACACTCCAGTTCAAGTGTCATAGTAGCTCGTAACCAACTCAGCTGCACGAAATTAGGAGACCAAACATTTAGGTATCTGTGTTGTTAAATATCAAGCGTAATACCTTCTACAATCCGCATCTGTTTATGACTATTTCGTTACAAACGCGTGTGTTGGTGACCTGCGCTATGTGGGTAATCCACTTATTGGATCTTCTCCGTGCTTTCATCTAACATATCATTTGATCTTAAGTGAAATTTGTTCGGTATATAACTTGATATAGTTTATCAGTTGCGTTCTTTCACTAATTACGCTGGTTGAAGCCACTAAAGTATTCACACATTTGAATTTGTCATATGTATGCAATCTCTGATCCTGACATTTATCTTTATTTTAAAATTAATAGAAGTTTAAACATGAATGACATAATTATACTTTTTTGTGCCTTGCTATGTGACTTATTTCTATAGGCTCTAGAAATAATCTGCTATAATAATAATGATAAATCAATCTTGTTATACGTACAATCAATTAGTTCGGTTTATATGCATAATCAATCTCTAGATTGTTCTTCTAAAATAATGATAAATCGAATTTGAACAACGATCACTTTTTACTAGATCATAAAATGCGTTCAAGATTATCCAAGCTCAGTCTGATTGAATATGAGAAACGTGAAATTCAATCTCGTTAATCCTTAAAAGCAACATAAAATAGCAATCGGGTCTGATATTTCTGGCGTACGACAAAGAAATTACCGTTTACATGGAATTCTATAAATAATCACACTTAATTTTTTAAAACATATATATATATATATATATATGGCCTTCTGTAATAATGATTGTGTCCAGATAAATAATAAATAAGCTGCTCATCGCATGAAACTAACAAAAAATATTTTAAATTTAAGTTTTATGACTATCAACCGTATAATTGTTGTTGATAATTTATATTTACTCATTTAAAAACGTTCATCTTATTTCAAATAATCTTATTATTACATTTCTAGAAAAATGCCTACTGGAGATAAACAACCAGAAAAGCATAAAAAAGAGTCTATTATTGATTTAAACAAATATATCGATAAAAGAATCCGTGTCAAATTTTCAGGTGGACGGGAGGCTGTGGGTATTTTAAAAGGATGTGATAATTTACAGAATATGGTGATTGATTGTACTACTGAATTCCTTCGTGATCCAGATGATCCACATCGTTTGACTGAAGATACAAGAGAACTTGGCCTTGTAGTTTGTAGGTTAGTTTTAGGGCTTGATTTAATAAAAAGTTGTTCCAAACTATCCACTCTCATGTTTTTTCTATTATTCCTACTAAATTTTTAACAACTTTATTCCTTGTCTACATAATTTTTTCACCAGAGAAAAATTTTCTACAACACTAGCTGTTCCCTAACTTTAGTGCTTGGTTATAAATGTTTCATATTCAACCATATTGTTTACATTAACTGACTTATTTCAGGTGACATCAAATATCTTGGAAAAACATCTACAGTACTATATTGAAGTAGAGGAAATGTCAAATGATTGCGATTTGCATTCAAATTTACTTGGTTACTTACGCCTGTACCCCTAATGAGGCATAGGCCGCCGACCAGCGAATTATTTTTTCTAGCGAGATCGATTTCTCCGGCATGGGATCGCTTACCCCCATGCTCAACCCTCATCCTTCATCCGTGCATTAGACCGGCAGTAACCTTAGAAGGGCTGCAGGAGGAGGTCATTCAGATTTACAAATATATTATCCCAAATTAGTTATTTAACTTCAATTATTAGTTTTAAAAAAATGAAACTAGTAATTGGAATATTGCAAATATTTTAATTTCTGTGATTAGATGCGAACAGATTTATACATAAATCTTGTCTAAAAATTTCAAACTGTATTCTTTCGAAAGTTAATTAGTTTCATTCACTGAAATAACAATAGTTTTTGATTATGCTAAGTAAAACCTATCTGAAACCATCCTGAGGTCATTCGATTTATGAGTGCATAACTCATGGAAAATGAAATGCTAAAATTATATTCAATAAAATTTACCTCTAATGCTGACCTAATAATGGTGAATTAATATTATTCATAGATTCGGTATCATAACCCACACACAAATTAAATGATGACTTTAACTAAAAAATTTCAGGCTCCTTTCAAACCTCAATCCCTTAAATCGTTTATACAGTTATTTGACAACATTCGTTCTTAATTTACATCGTGTCGCTTGTTTATTCATTTATTCCTATTTTGGGCATTCTTTGCTCTTCAACGCATACAGCAGCTCACCTGTTGTGAAAATTTTGTCCTATCTAAACATTCTCAAGTCACTGATCGGTCGAAATTTGTGTGCTACCACCGAATGCTACTATCTAAATCAATCATTCAGACTAGCCTCCCCCAACGTTCGCACACTAATGTTGGCATGTGTTTATCCGGGGGCTCTTTAAGATCTATGTCCTGTTTTCCTGGCATTTCCCTCCGAACTCTTTTTAAGGATGGTGGCAACCTTCTGGTTATGGGAGTTACTGAGTTGCTTACAACCTTTTTTTAATTAGTGCTCTAGCATCGTGAAGTGAGTGAATGTTTGTTCCCATTTTGAAAAATGGTACACATCATCTACGTTGCAACTACCGGGGGATGAGTCTACTTTCGATTGCGTCCAAATTATTGGATCCCGTCATACTTCGAAACTGTTTAAAACCAGGTGAGATCGGCTCGCTAGTAGCAGTTTGGTTTCCATTTTGGAGGAGGATGTATTGATCATATCTTTACCCCCCCTTGTCAGATGTTAAAAACCGCCATTCTCATCGTAGACCAACAATCGTGTTTCATTACATGAGAGCTACCTTCAACTCGTTGGGCAGGACTATCTATTGACAAAGGGTTTGCCTAAGAGACTTATTAAAATCCTGAAGGCAATATATAAAAACACCTAATGGGGGGTGACAGCATTCAAACATCTCTTTCTATTGTTTCATTCAACCAGTGGGGTTAGGTAGAGTTGCTCAATCGCACCGTTCCTCGGTGACTTTGCTATCAGTGACAATCTGGAAGCAACCCTGATGGACGTAGGTAATAGTGGTGTGCTTTGTACCTTTTGAGTGTGAAGTACTTTTAAAGATTGGCAGGCTCCTGTGCTCTCATTCACTCTAGGCAGTGGGCAGATATAAGTAGTCGGAAAGTTCATACACCTGAGTAGCCATGTAGGTGCTGATGGTAGTGTGGGTAATGATATCGATTCAGGTATAGTTAAGGCCAGAGCGGCTTATGTAAATGTGGGCCATCTTTGGTGCCTTCTAGATGTTAGTCTGGCTGTAAAAGACTGGGCCTCTAATCCATCAGGGAAAGTAGTTTTGTTGTATGTTTGTGAAACCTGTTTGAAGATATTGGGAAATATTGTTCCTTTTTAGTATCACTGTAACTAGCCAGAAATTAACATAACTTATACTGATTGAGTTTTATGTGATGGAATGGATATACACTAACGATTCTTAGGACTGATGACTTTCCTGATAAGCTGACACAGAAACACTGAGTTAATTTTACAGATTGTATATGTTCCAAGGTATGTCAATGCAATTACAGAGTACCTAGATATGCATATCATGAAGGCAAATGAAAAATAATGCGTTAAATTCATTAGACATGAAATCTTTTACATCCGATAATGACTGGAAAGCTATTTTTAACTTCATATGGATTTAAAGGATAATTTTTACCCTGACCAAGATAACTGTTGACTTTTTTTCGTTTTACTTTTCGAATTAATAATTTGCAAGGAGTTATTTTTCTAAACATATGTTGCTCTAACTAAAATGCCTTTTCCACCAAATAAAATTTATGCATTCTTGGAAGTTATTTTAAAGCCTAATTTTTCGAATAGACCGTATCGTTAATTACAAAGCTTTCTTACATCATTACATAAAGAATTATCACAATTAATTCTTGCAATCTGTTTTTCTCTTACAGGGGTCCATCTGTGGAACTTGTCTGTCCTGCAGATGGAATGGAGTCTATACCCAATCCATTTATTCAACAAGAATGATTCGTGAAAAGTTACCTATTTTCTATGATATATAAAAATTTGTAAAATATTAGCGCCTTCTGTCCTATTGTGAATACGTGTCACCTTAGCGCGTGTATGCTATTAATAAATAATTTGTATTATATTAGAAAATATGTCATCTCTGTTTGAAATTCACCTATTGGCGGACGCAATGTGTGTCTATGTACCAGGACCTGTCGTAGTGTTAACATCTAGTCTATAGAGCCAGGTCCAGGTCGAAGATCAGCCTCGTTTCCTCGAGTCTGCTCTTCACGAGTTATAGTTATGCGTCTAAGTATTACCAAGGTTAACAATTTCGACAGTATATTAGTTAGACTGATTCCTCTGTGCTTTTCACAAGAAGACTTTTGTCCTTTCTTACGAATTGGAACAATCAAGGATTGGGACCAGTCAGATGGGATTACGCCTAGTTTCCAGATTCTACACAAGATCTCAATCAATCTAGCTGTTAAAACTAGACCACCATCCTTAAAAATCTCAGTTGTCAGTCTATCGGGACCCGCTGCACTTCCTCGCTTCAGATTTCCTATAGCTTTCCCAACTTCATAAAGATTGGGAGGGCTTGAGTCGATGTGCCATTTAGGATGACTGGGGATCGTGGGCAACTGAAGTGTGGCTGAAGGCCAGTTGAACTGATCCCTAAAGTGTTCTGCCCGTCGGTCCAGTCTCTTGGATTGAGAATGGATAATGAGACCATCCTCTTCCGAAACAGTCTCATTCACAATTGGGTTCGTAATACCGGTTTGCCTCATAAGTCTGAATAGTTGCCTACTGTTGCCCATCACCGTTGCCTTTTCCATCTTCCTTTCTTTCTCTACCCACCACTGTTCTCAATCATTGCGAAGGCATTTTATCAGCATGTGCCTGATCTGATTCCGCTCCTCAACGTGCTCAGAGCCAGGCGGGATGAGATTTCGAGCAACAATCAGTTCCGTAGATGTTACTGAAATCCACTGCTGTTTTCACAGCCTTTTTGATATCATTCTAAGCTGCCTCATGGTGGGCATCACTTACTACATGGCTGCTTAACTGTTTTTCTAGTTGTCCCTGAAATATATTCTTAGCTTTATTATTATTAAGTAGAGCCTTAAGAGGTTTCATTGCGATATTTTTCTTGGGTTCAGTAAGGCGCAAACAAATACGCGCTCACACTAGAGCACGGTCTGAGTCTAAACAAGTGCTCCAGAATGAGCGGCCGTCTTCGACAGAGCCTCAACACCGATGGCTTATAGCGAAGTGATCTAGTTTTTCTTAGCCTGATTATCATCAAGTAAAGCCCTAAGAGGCTTCCTTACGGTGTCTTTCCTACGTCCAGCAAGCCTCAAACAAATACGTGCTCGCACTAGGGCATGATCTGAATCTAAACATGTGCCCCAGAACGAGCGACAGTCCTCTATCGAACCCCTCCATCGGTGGCTGATGGCGATATGATCTAGTTGTGTCCAACGTTGAGACGACTTCGGGGGTCGCCAGGTCAAAAGGTGTTTTACCTTATGCTTAAAGTTAGTGTTTGCCAGAAATAGGCCGTTATCTGACCACAGATGCAGCAGACGGTCGCCATTATCTGCTCTCTTCACCGCGACACAAAGCATCCAGCCAGGTGTTTTTCCTTTTCGCTGGGTCTACCTACTTGAGCATTAAAGTCACCAGCCATTATCACTATATCAGGGTGCCTAACTTTTTGGAGGAGGTCCGAAAGCTTTCTCTAAAACTCATCTTTCACATCGTCTGAACTGCAGTCAGTGGGGGCGTATGCAGATACGACGAACAGGCAACGGCGAGTGTCCCTATCCTTCCGAATCAGTACCGTCTTGTTTAATCGGACAGTGCATAAGCGGCTGTCTATCGAGTCTAAGAGAGGGAAGGATTTGATTATGACTAATTCGGTCTCGTGTGCTGTTACGGGTATGAGATCACTTCCCGGGTGTCCACATCGTGGAAAGGTGTCTGTTGAGGAACCTGAAAAGGAAGGTATGTTAGCATTGGTCTTAACGACCTGGGAGCGTGACCGCAGAGTCCAAGGGACAACTGCTTGACGCCGGTCTCACACGGCCATCTTATGAAGTGTTTTTTGAGTATTAGCTCCATTCTTAAAAGTCTTTAGTGGGAACCCTTAGAGAGATCCGTGATGTGTGACATTTTTAGGGTCGACCTTTTCTAACCCTTCCTTGTCAGAAGGCAGATTCGCTGCAGATGCTAGTTGTCACACCTCTCTACAGTCAGCAGTACGATTTCGCCCTCAGACCTTGAGTAGCTGCTTTTAGTCTCATTGTTCTCCAATCTACCTGCCTGGTATGGTATAGAGCCTTCAGCAACATATGTTCCAGCCAATACAGCTTGGCTGGGTCATCACGATAGGCAAGTCCGACCACCACGTTAAGGTAGCAGCTACGGTCGGTCAAGATTTTTACACCTATCCGCTACGAAAGAAATTCGATCGGCTTTCTTACTGGCAGAGCGAAAACGATCTGTTTCAGTGGATACTTCAAGGCAGGAGCTGGAATTCATCAACAGCTCACTGACCGAGATCGGCTACCCCAGGGCATTCATAAAAAGGAAAAGTTTGATGTAAAAAAAACAGCAATTTCGACCGCTGAAAAGGAGTCTTTAATCATTAAACTACACTTTGATGGACATGTGGCCTGCGATACTCTGCAGTACAGATTAACGAAAGTAGTCAGTAGAACATTTAACGCAGCCAAACTTGCGTTGACCTTCTCAAATCGACCAGCGATGTCTATCCAAACGAAGGATAAGTTACCTGAGTTGGCTTCCTGATTGTGGATTTACAAACTTAGCTGCTCCTGTGAAGATGGGTACATCGGGCCTCCTACCAAGCAACTTAGTGAGTGAACACCTCCCACCGTGGTTTATGAAGGGCCAGTCAAAAACAATATGAAGTTCTATCCTAACACACCCGGTTGATAGTATTCACATTGTAGATAAGTCTAGGTCTTTTCGGGTGATCTATCGTATACCTCCATCATTTCGCAACGGAGTTTGATCCCGTCTCCTACACACAGCAGAAGGCATATAAACTCGTACATTCAACCCCAATTTATGGGTTCATAAGAAATTCCTAACACCCCTCTATCTTCCGTGGCCGGATATGACGTAACTAACGTTAAAGTATTATTTCGTTATCATTAGCATTATTTCCACATCCTATATTTGTTGGCAATTTTCTGCCTATTTCAGTTTACATTCTTCACTATCTAACTATGAGCACACTTCTTATTACGTAATGGTTTAAGGTGTTGTAATGAATATTTTAAGACTATTTATAGAGGTTTGACCTACTATTGATAGGACTTTTGTTATCGTATTTCATTTTCTTAACTAATATCAGTACACCTGTCTTCATACTATCAACTTGTACTTTCGCCCATTATGTGTATTGATGTAATCTTTTTTCATTTCATTGACTCATTTTGCCTTGATTGGTTTAACATATTCATATGAATATTCATGTACATTAGAGTAAAGCCTGATTACGATCTAATCGAAAACAATATTATTCCCTTATAAGTGCTGTTCCAAAAACATATACGCCAAACAAAGTTACTTGACTAGGTGATTCAAAGTTTTAAATATATTTAGAAAGTAGGATCCACAATAATAATATGAACTAAAAAATAGAGAAGGAGTAGATTAATTCTTTTCATGAGCTAAAACTGGTAAAAATTATTTTGTCGATTGCTCATGAGTCACGATATCAATAACGAAAAAGTAATAGTTCAGTTGCAGATCCTCAAGTATCCTAATACGACCAGGGGGATGTATAGAACGCTGTCCATCTTGAAAAATGCTCTCTAATATGGCCGTCTATATAACCACTCTCAAGAAGTCCTAATCATTGCCTTCTCGAGCCAACGGTAATGTCTATCGAATCGAGAGGACAGAACGCAGATGACTGACGCTTAAACCCGGTTGGTGGGTACGGAGGGTCCATACAGATAAGTTGGAAAACCATGATTCCCAACCAATTATGCTCATGGGCCCCACAATCCCCACAGGAACAAATGACGTATGAACCTATTCTTGATTACCGGCTACTATGTGACTGCATTCCTCAGCGTTTCTCGACCACCTAGTGGATTGAACATGCAGGTCAACGACTCAGGGAATGACCCCTTAAGAAGACTACCTACTTTGGTTTGGGCTCCTAGGCAGTATTCCAACACAAATAAATTGAAAAAGGATAAAGAAAGTTATTTTGTAAAACTATTAAAAGTAAAAACAGAAGAATAAAATGAAATATTTTGCGGTTGTGTAAACATGGTTGCAACAGGTTGATTTTGAAGTATAGGTACTGTACAACAAATACACGAACGTAAATAATAACAACTATAACCGTCATCAATATGTGAGTTATGAAAATAAGGAGTAATAGAAAGTTTGAAATTATAACAAAAATAATCACTAATATCCTCAAAAAAACAAATTCATATCTGATTGTTTAAAATAATAATTCAGTAATAAAACGAAAATTTCAAAACTCCTACTCTTTTTTCAAAGCAAAATCTCAAAAATAAGGAGAAACTAACATCTTTTAGTACGGCTACTCATAGAAAACCGACCACGGCCACGACTGAACTTCGGTGGAGTTAAAGTAGTTTGAATGACACTCTCATGTTCAAGTTTTGATTTGTTTACAACAAAACGTGCCATTTCGATTGCACCATCACGTGTTGCATTATAACCTAAGTGACCAGAGTTATGCACAAAAATGCAACCCGGTATTCCAGTTATCGAACACAATTGATCATCTTGAAGTGAGCGCCATTCATTAGGGAATGGTAACCTGATTCGATAGAAGGAATTTTTAGTATCAGTTAAGGATAATGTTTACCAGGTTTATATGCACAAACATTAATGATTAACCAAAAAATTCGTGTATTCGCCTGTGTAACCACTACAAGAACACTAAACAACTTTTATAACCTATGTAGATGGGTCAGATTGAGATCAGCAGACTGGATTTTGTAAGGATCTATCATCTAGCGGGATCAGACGATATGCCAGCTGAGGCAGCGAAATCAGCTATAGAATTAACTGCAAAGATGTCCCACACTCTGGTCAGCAAGATATGGGGAGAAGAAGGATACATCATCAAAGTGCCAAATAAAGGAGATCTGAACAAGTGTAAGAACTACAAAGACATCGCTTTACTCTCAATTACAGTCAACTTTTCAACAGGGTGTTGTCAAATAGAATGAAAGACTCAGTAGACGCTCAACTTCAAGATCGACAAGTTGGATTTTGTAAGGATCGATCATGTACCCACCAAATCGCCACACTACTGATCACTGTGGAACAATCAATTGAATGGAACTCACCCCTCTACATCATTTTAATTTACTACGAGGACGCATTCGACAGCGTGGACAGGATGACAGTTTGGAGCCTTCGTCGACACTACGATATGTCTGAGTTAATAATCATCATACGAAATTCTTAAGATGAATTAAACTGCAAAATCGTGCATGGGGGACTGCCCACAATCTCATTCCAAGTGAAGACCGCTGTTAGACATCGTTGCTTACTCTCACTTCTTCTCCTTCTTCTGGTGCTCGACTTGGTTATAAATATCTCAACGACTGGAGGGATACAATGGACAGCACAGTTGCAGCTAGGTGATCTGAACTTCGCGGATGTTTGGATGCAACACAACATGCACCAACCAAAACACTACAAAAGTCACTATCCAAAAGATACAAGCGTTCACTGACGGTTGTCTACGCAAAATACTTTTGGATCCACTGGTTATGCACCATCGGTAACAACAAAACAGATACCAGCGGAGCAATGAACCAGGAAGGATCAATGGAAGTGGACAGGACACTCGTTGAGGTTGAAGTCGCTGATTCACAAAGCAATCTCTAACTTGGACCCCTCAATCTCAAAGGAAAGGAGGAAGATCAGAGTTCACGTTACGGAGAAAATATATTAGAAGAATCAATGCAAATTGGACAGAAATGGAGCGGAAGACCAGGAACAGTGTAGGTTGGAACGCTGACCAAATACCCATGCTCGACTGAGGGCAATAGGCGTAAGTAGGCAAGTAGGTACGAAAGGAAACAAGTACATAAGTATTATAGCTTAATAGTGTTGTAGCCATACATCGGCAGTCAGGTTTGGCGCTAGTTCCAAATTTTATTTCACCACCAGAATTAGTAGGTAGGAAAAATTAAATGTAAATATTGAGTAGGGTTAGCAGAGAAAGGATATCGAATGAACACACAACCTTTTTCGATCTTCAATACTAATCTATGATCACACAATCAAATGCGGCGTTTAAGTTAGGGAAAATAAACATTAAAGTGGTAAAATGCCTTTACTTCAAGACGTTCGAAATTGGAGAGTGAGCGAGAATGTTGTTGAATATTGATAGACAGTGATACAAAGCCTCTAGCAACATACTCTATGCGAACGAACTAAATATAACTTCGGATGAGGAAATAACCTGGTGGATCAGATAGAAATATAATAAACATAACCAGGTCTCTAACCTTTAATTGTAAAAATGGCTTAGGCGACTGACCAAAATAGATCTCGAAACCTACAGGAGTTCGAAGCTTATAACTTTACATTAGACCTGTGAAAATATAAGTGTTTAGAAGTGAAGTGATGTGGATGGGATTACTTGAAGATTATGATGCTTTCTTAGGCTGAATTTACAGGAAACTAGAATATGATAACATTTAATAAATGACGGTGGAAGATCTCAAAAAATAAGCTTACCGACTTTCGAATTTCTCTTTTGGTACAGCTTGAATGACCCAATTGCCATCCGATGGTAGGATGACAAAGAGAATTTGAGGAGGAAACTTTGGTGTAGGACGATAACTTGCATGACGGAGTGGTTCTGGGTAAACAACTGTTTCCATACGTTCTTCACGTTCTAAGTCAAATAAATGGCTCTTCCATGGACATGATTTATCTAGTACTATGATAGTTCTCGACGGATCCACATCCTTACGACAGACCATCGCTTTAGCTACAATATTTCTTGCAGGCCACCAGCAGTTAGTAAAGTAGTCCACAGTATCAAGGAATTCACGACTAACTAAATCAAGTGCTCTTTGAAACGAAGTCTAGCAACGAAAATAGGTAAAAATTTCAGGGTCAATGTATAAAAAATTGCAGTTGACAAACAAGTTTCCTATGAAAGATAGGCTATTACAACTTGCAGACGTGATACAAAAAATGTGCACCAAATCTGAAACGATATCTACAAACCTACATAAATATGGTACATAAAGCAATCAATTTTTAAAAAATTCATTAACGTGATTAGCTGAATAAATACAATTGACCACAACAGACAGAGATATGATTAGGTGAATTGTGGATGGTTTAGTAAACAGCTTACAACTAAGATAGTTTCTTGTAATTTACAAATAGGTTGTAGCAAGGCCACCTACGTCTAATTTCGTGATGGAAATAGACTCATGAATTGGCATTTACAAAGAATCTTTTGAAAGCACATTAGAATACAAAATAACATTTTACGATGTACTGCTCGTGAAACGCTAAATACAGACTAATGATGGTCAAACAGGGTAAACAATACTGTGAGGTAATCATCAGATCGAACAAGCGGTGATTTACGTTGTGTTGGTAGAGCAGCATAGGACAGTAAATTAGCATAACAGCATACATGATATCATGGTGAACAAATTAGAACTATGGCGCATATAAACTTACATAAATTGTTTTGACAGATCATTGCAGTCAATCTTCCATCCAGAGCAGACATTTTTTAAATTAAAAGTTCATATAGACATAAGGTGATAATTGTAAATAAAGGAGAGAGAAAATTAACGTAATATGAAAAGAATAATAAAGGGTAGGAAAATTGTCACATTACCCTAGGCTTAAAGATTACTAAGGTAAATACAAGGTCATGACAAATTGTTTATTTTTTTAATTCATAAGCTTAGATAAGTTCATCAATAGAATTACGGATAACGTTTTAGAGATAATGAGACTCATTTCACAAAATATCAAGGACGCATTGCAATCCATGTCTTGTCTTCATTAGTTTCGAGTATTTAAACAAACTCATAACATTAGAAAACTTTGGAACTCGAAAAAATTGTAATTCGTCATGAGATCAGATGTCCATGTAACTCATTTTCAAGCAAACCGTTAGTCAGTCGGACAGCTACAACGCAGAACTTCGTACGTACGCACATCAGTATCAGTTTTCATACCATAATAACGCAGATGAAATTGCCCATTCGAATACTCGAGGTCTGAGGGCGAAGTCGTACTGCTGATTGTAGAGGGGTGTGACAGCAGTAAGGTGTTTCCCTCGGACAACCAGCATCTGCAGCGAATCTGCCTTCTCACAAGGAAGGAAGGAGTTAAAAAAGGTCGACCCTAAAAATGTCACACCTCACCTCACCTCACGGATTTACGTCTCTTGCGGTAAGTGACAAGTGATCTCATACCCGCAACAGCATACGAGACCAAATTAGTCATAATCAAATCCTCTGAAGGAAACAACGTGATACAAAGGCTCATTCGTTTCTATTAAAAGTATGCTACATACACTTACGGCCCTGGTTTGTCTTTTGTCAGGCATAGGATCTTAATCATTTTCAAGATTTATAAGAGGACATAATACCTTAGATACATTAAATTTAGTTCTTCAAACCAAAATCTTAAAATAGACTAAAGACTCGTGTTTTCGACATCTTTGATGTTCTTGAATAAGATTTGTGAGATTTTATTTAAGGCAGATAATGGGAAATAGTAAAAATAGGTGACAGTGGCAGTCACGAATGAAAAATTAAGTTTATTTAGAACAAGGCTTAAGGAAATTATAAACATGAACCACAAAAGAATGTTAAACCGAGATAACATACACCTGAGATATTTTAAGACGATCCGTAAGGATCTCTAATATGTACAGAATCAAAGGTTCGCCAAGAATCTACAATAATAAACGTACTTCTGATTCGTCTGGTTCTTTATTCCACCATGGATTAAGTCGTCGAACTCTGCAAAATAAACCAGTATTTACATTGTACCTGGACGATAAAACGCAGAACTAACTTACTTTGAGGGGACTGTTGACTGTGGTATACCGTTGTCTTGCCCATCAATTTCTAGAACAAACGATTCATATATCTGTAACTAGTTATAACATTTATGAGCAAACTTTGATAAATATCTTTTCCAACACTTCACTTTCAGTTGTTAAGCCGGTCAATAGAGAGAGTACTCTTTTCCCAAAATGTACGTACACTAGTCCAGCGCTGCTTAATTTGACATCCCACAACTTCACGCCAAAATATTTAGACCACGTTAATGAAAAATCCCTAGATTTTAACGATTCGCCATAATTATAATGAACTCATAGTGTAATTACTTTTGATGATGATCAAATCGAAGTTTATCAGGATCATACACATCACCAACGTCAACGACCACATCGCAAGCAGACAGTTTTTCTGGATCACGGGACCGCACTACGACAGCATCCTTATATTCGGGAAGATGTTTAAGTAGGACTATTGCTAGCACTTCATCACAGTGGAAACAACCGCTATGAGTCCCAATTCTTTTTATCCCTGTCCCTGCAGAGCTCATCGGTGTCGTTCGTCCTTCAGACATCCTTCCATAATTATTCAGACGTGTCGTAACTTCAGAATTCGGTAAGTTTGTGTTTAATCAGGGGTACTTGTGTGCTGGGGTAGTGTGAGGAGCAGTAAGCGATGTTATCTGGAAAAGGACAAGAAAAAATGTGAGCCAAAGATTCAGTAAGCAGAGAGCAATCACTTACATTTTATAGAGAATGCAATCGAAAACAGTCAGAAAAAGCACAAGCATCAGATTAAGAAATGCATAACCGGAACCACAAGTTGGTAGAGTAAAGTCTCGAATGAGCTCCGGTGCACGAACTTTAGTGCTGAACAGTGTCTCGTTGTGACAAGGTCAAACATTGAAAACCAACAACCAATATCCAATATCTTTTTCACGAGCTAGTGTAAACCAATTTGATTTCTTCGCGCTCCATTCTTGTTCTTTCGGTACGGTTCCAGGTTCATTTTTCCAATATCTTTTTCACGAGCTAGTGTAATGTAACGGAGCCAAAATCACTACGTATGATGTTGCTAAATTGTTCTGTTTTCTTTCTGTTTCAGGGAGATCAAACACAAATGCTTTGGAAGCTGAAGAGCAAGCCCTGAGTGCTCTAAACCAACAAGATGACTCATAAGACATTGGTACTACCCCCACCCTCTTTCTGTAAAAACCCCCGCGTTTTTGATTTTTAAAAATAAAGAGTGCCGTGACAACAACCTTGTGTTCTCCCTTGGTGTGAGGTGTCGAATTAACCCTGTGTGTTGCGATTTTAGATTTCCTCTGCCTTTCACTGACTGCCGATTACGCGTGTTACTGTAAACCAATTTGATTTCTTCGCGCTCGATTCTTGTTCTTTCGATACATTTCAAGGTGTTCAGTAATGTCCAATGGATGGAGGTCTAGCCACTCGACTGTCTATTTCTAGTCAGTTGGCAGTTGGTTGTGAGTTCGCAGTTTCCTGGGTCTCGCGTCCTATTACAGACGTTTTGTTCGCGACTTTGCATCTTTGGCAGCGCCTTTGCACAGGCTGACACATAAGGGACGAAAATTCTTATGGACCAACGAATGTCAACAGGCATTTGATATGTTAAAGGCACGGCTAACCTCACCACCTATATTAGCCTTTCCCGACACCTCAGCAGATGGAGGTCAGTTCATACACGATACAGATGCTAGTTCTTCAGCTATCGGAGCGGTTCTTTCACAGGTAGCCCGAGATGGCCAGGAGAGAGTCATAGCTTACGCCAGCCGACGACTAGACAAGTGTGAAACACGGTATTCCACAACGCGTTGAGAAATGCTAGCATTAGTTAAATTCTTACAGCGCTTCCGTCATTATCTACTGGGTAGACCTTTTCGCGTGCGCACGGATCACCGTGCATTACAATGGCTTCGATCTTTTCGCGAACCAGAGGGACAAGTAGCACGCTGGCAGGAACGACTGCAAGAATTTGACTTCACATGCGAGTACCGTCCGGGGAATAGACATGCCGATGCAGATGCACTCTCTCGCCTCCCCTTGTCCACAGATACCGTTGCTGCAATTCTGAGTACGGCAACAGAGACTGACTGGTCCTCACTGCAAGCAGCGGATCCAGATTTGCAGATTATTTACCAAAAACAATTGCACGGGAACAATAGGCCGTCCATGAAGGAGTTAAGAGACCAATCCCTCGCCACGCGTCGGATTTGTTACAAATGGAGCAGTTTAAAACTATATGGTAACACGCTATTCCTAATTAATGAGTCCAGACAACCCCTGCTTATAGTACCGCAAGTAAAGACACAGAGTATTGTAGAGCAAGTTCATCGTGAACTCGGCCATGCAGGAGAACGAAGAACTGAGTATGCTGTTCGCCAGCGCTTTTGGTGGCCGTCTATTCATGAAGATGTAACCGACTTCTGCAAAAACTGCAACACGTGCTGCCGTATGAAATCGCACAAGCAAATACCACGCGCACCGTTAATGCCGATGAGAACGACTGGACCGCACCAGCGCGTTGGTATTGATATTATGGGACCATTAACGACGACGAAGAAAGGAAATCGCTACATATTAGTTATGGTAGACTATTTCACCAGATGGTGCGAAGCAGTACCCATTCCACAACAAGACGCCCTAACTGTCTCACAGGCTTTCATTGATCATTGGGTTTCCCGTTATGGTGCCCCATTCTCACTCCACTCCGACCAAGGTCCGGCCTTCAAAAGTCATCTCATTGCCGAAATATGCAAGCTATTGGGAATACGGAAGACGCATACTACCGCATATCATCCAGAAGGTAACGGCCTAGTTGAAAGGCTAGTTTATTAATCCAAGATCGCGCTCTGAGGAGACATTTGGTAGCGGACTTCCATTGAGACTGTAGGTGGTTTGCGTCATATGAGGCAGGAAATGCATGACGTGGCACTTCGGTTGGTTGAGTTTTAAACTATTTTTCACTGCCCATTTCTCAATGGATGTAAGGTCCTTTTGAAGCTCAGTCGAATCCTCTTCGCTTCTAATGGACCTCCAGATCTTCGCATCGTCTGCGTAGATCAGTGCCGGTGAGCTAACTAAGCTTAGCAGGTCTTTAATGAATATCAGGAAGAGGAGTGGGCTTAGGATGGTCCCCTGTGAAACTCCTGAAGTGGATACTCTCCAACTCGCGTGCACCCTGTTTACCTTGGTGTGAAACTTTCTATTCTCAAGGTAGTTTCTGAGGCAAGATACGAGTGGCTCAGTGAAGCCCATTTCCACAACCTTTTCGATTAGGCGTGCGTGGGGCACTGTGTCAAAGGCTTTTGCGAAGTCGAGAAATACTACGTGCACTGGTATTTTACGGTCCAAGCAGGATGTCCAACTGTCCCATGCGATGAGAAGATTAGATGCACACGACCTGCCTTTCCGAAACCCGTGTTGAGCTTCATGGAGTATTTTATTCTTATCCATGTACTCCCTCATTTGTTCGTCCACTAGCCCTTCCATAACCTTTGATAATATAGGTAGTAGTGCGACTGGTCTGTAACAGTTTGGGTCCTTTCTATCTCCCCCTTTGAAGATTGGAGAGAGAGTAGCATGTTTCCATTCCGCTGGGAATTGGTGTGACTCCAGTGAATGCCTGAACAGGTTGCATAACGGTGAACAGAGGGCTTCAGCGCACTGTTGCAAGACTATAGGGCGGATGTTGTCACAACCTGATGACTTACCTGGGCGTAAGGATTTTAGTTTCCTTAATACTAGGTCAGGAGTGATACGGATTTTCCCTAAGCCGTCAGCTGGCATTTGGTTGGCGTAATACTCTGAACGTGTAGGCGCCTGGTTTAATTGATCAGAAAAATGGGTGTTGAAGATCTGTGTGAATATTTCACATACCATGCAAACAGGAGGCGTTGTAACACGGATATAAAACAGCAGCAGTTACCTAAATATTACAGGTGCGCTCTGATGATAAGGGACAAGTAGGGCAAAGACTAAGTTAGGGTATCCTGTCGATTACTTTTAACTACCGAATTACACGTAAATATAGTGCACGTTATGTGAAGTCACCTAGATTACTGACTACATCGAAAATAGGTAAAAGGAATTCGATCAGCCATAAGAATAATTAATCAATCAAAAAAAACAATTCTGTAATGTATTCGCAGTAAACAATGAATATTCTGATAGGTTTGTAAGTTTACCTATATTTTGATACAAGATTTAGATATCGTCTCAGGCATCTAGTTTATCTTTCATAAAATATCACCTTTAATCCAGATGGAGAAACCAGGAAGGGGAGCTTAACCTATCAGCTGCAGTGAAAGAAAAGGACAAAAGGGTGGACAAAATCACGAAATTTCAATGTCGACCTTCTTTCGGAAAACTGGCAAATGCAACAAATTCGAGATAGCTCACAACGATTAGTTACGGGCCTTTCATGGTCTACTCAGCGAAGAGGAAACTACCACGGAGAATGACTGAAAATACACCAAAGAAGCATTAACTTCAGCACATCATGAGGTTTCGGGCCACACATATCAACTTCACAAGGAATAGATCTCTGTGGATACTCTGGATAAGATTCATAAGAGGAAGCGCAAGAAGGCAGCAATCAACAATACATGGACAATAGCAGAGAAAGCCAAGGCACTGACGGAATACTCAGAAGCAAACAAGTAAGTGATTCGGAGCATTAGAAACGATAAACGTACATATTTTGAAAATCTGACAATGGTAGCAGAAAAAGCTGCAAGAGAAGGACATTTGAGACAATCATACGATACAACAAAGAAGCTCACTAGAAAATACAGGAAACCAGAATGACCAGTCAGGTACAAGGAAAGCAAAGCAATTATCGACATTGAAGTAAAGCGACTGGCTTATGCCAACCTGAATTACATATGGCGTGGACGATATATCCGTTTGCCGACAAAAGGAGGAGTGCATTGCGTAGCAGCTCGCTCTGTCCTACATTATGGTTGCGAACTTTGGCCAGTCAGATAAAAAGATATTCGCAGGCTGTTAGTATTCGATTATAGATGTCTTCGAAGCATTGCTCGTGTATCCTTGGAGAACCGAGCAGGCAATGCTGTCGTTAAGAAACGAGTACCGGCTAAGGATGGCAGAACGATAGACGAAGTAGTGAAACTTCATCGTTTGAGGTGGTTGGTACATGTATTATGTATGTGCAAGCACTGTCTGCCTAAAAGAGGTACGTTTTGTGGTGTAGTGGTGGCTTGGAAGAAAGCTAAGGGCGACGAATTATACTTCTCGAATCAAATCTTCACTCCCCAATCTTCTCCATTACTGCTAATACTTCCACTATTGCTATCACTGTTGGATTTGAACTGACAGTTGCGTCTCTGTGCTGATGGGGCATGGCAACCTGAACTGATGTACGTACGCAAGAAGTTCTGCGTTGTATCTGTCTGCCTATGTCTCCACAGAGCGCGATCTCGGTTTAATAACCACAGAAAGCCTCCACACAAGTCCAAACTATGTAGGGGATGCAGCCAAGGCAAATGCGACTCTTCACTTTATGCGAAGACAGCTTGGTGCTATAACCCCGAAATTATTTTTAACCCTCTTTAAGACGTACGCGCGCCCACACTTGGAGGTTCACAACGTCATCGCACCCCCTCTGCTTAAAAGAGACATTAATCTCTTGGATCGAGTGCAGAGACGAGCAACCAAATGGGTGGTATGGTTGAAAAATAAACCGTACGACGATAGACTCCAGCTCTTGGGATTATTCCCACTGAGCTACAGGAGAATCAGAGGTGACCTGATTATGGCTTACACCATATTAAACACGCCAAACCATCCCAATATGAGCATCTTACCGATGCATCACCACCACTCCCCTCAAGGCAATCCTCGAAAGATTGCACATCAAAGAGCGAATACTCAGATTCGTGCACACTTTTTCTCATTGCGAGTCGTCGCAACTTGGAATGCTCTCCCAGCCGAGGTAGTTACAGCCCCCTCAGTGGACTGCTTTAAGAAGAGACTTGATAATCACGTACTCATATGCGGACTATCATCTCCCTCTTGGACAAGCTGTTCATGATGCATATCTTGAGACCTCCTAGTTGTTACCATTGCCATCTCCTCAGATCACTAAATTAATCTATCTCGCTTATTCCTCTCCCTTGCTTACACTTCGGTCCTCTCTCACAATCTTCACTACCAATTAATAAACTAAATTCATCTATATATTACTCTGTTCTGAAATTTTATTCCTATTTTCATTAGAATTTTATCCTTATTATCCTTATCACTCTCCACATTGCAACTAACTAATCTCCGGTTTGGTAATGTGACGACTGCTAGTATCCAGAAACCCTACTGCCCTGAAACAAACGTTTCATTCAAATCCCGAGACATACAAACTCACAACCAACTGCCAACTGACTAGAATTAGACAGTCGAGTGGCTAGACCTCCATCCATTGGACATTACCGAACACCTGGAACCGTACCGAAAGAACAAGAATCGAGCGCGAAGAAATCAAATTGGTTTACACTAGCTCGTGAAAAAGATATTGGATATTGGATATAGGATCAGACAGCCGCTAAATTTAGTATTTCAAGGTTGTTTGTATGGATTGTTTGTTCTCGTGGAATGCTATCTCAATATTTATGTATAACCTATAATCTGCTGTCATTTGTGCAGCTGATATGTTATATTACGGTTATCGATTCGACCAAGTCCTAAACGGCCATAGGGTACATTTTTTTATTTTATCTACATACATGTGTTGCAACGTGACTTTGCGATTTCCTCAAACGCTAGTCAGTTCCTCAATGATTTTGCGCTCGGTTTAATACATAACTGCCATCTTTTTGCTGGGTGTGCCGAATTGTATATGTATATATTTCCTCATGGAGTCCAAATTTAGACTGATTCGGTGATTGTTTTTGGCAAATTTAGGTGGATGTTGTAACATGTTCTCGTTTCGTCGTTACTCTTGGCTTAGTTATTGATCAGTAGTAGTACACGTTCATTGTTTTAGATATAAATCAAGTTTGTTAGTAGTATTGCTGTTGAGTTTTTATGGTTAGTGCGTCACACAAAATTCAGTCCTAATATGTCAATGTTTTCGATGGTGATACACAAAGTGATTCAAATATTTGTTCATCTATTATATTAGCTCAATTTTAGTAGTTATGTTAGGTTCATCTCAAAGGACAATAACATGCAAAATGTCTTCAATTCTCGTTAATATTTGACATCTACATACTTAAAATAAGGCACTTAAGTTGAGCCTATTCGTTTGTTAAAACTGACCGAAGCAAGAGCCTGTATGTTAACGGTGATATCAGGTATAGGAACAAATAATCACAGTGTGGTTCTGAATAAAACACTAAAACTGTAAACTTGAAGAAGCACGAAAAATAATTACTCCGATGTCGCTTCTTGCCAATGGCTATCAGTAAGATTTCCTTGCACAGCTCACATCACGCACTTCTTCCAACGTCTAGTTTGTCAGCTTAATGGTCTGGCAGCGTCAGCCTTTGGTTTTGATCGAACATATAACTAATCGAATGACTGACTTTCGCAGGTGTAAATGTTGTTGGATCAATCAAACTTTTAGTGGTCTTTCTTATATTTCGAACAATGAATATTGCTTAGCGTATAAAATGTTTAAAATAAGTCCCAGATTTACCTTTCTAGAACTAACGCTACTCGCATGTATATTGGTCTGTCTCATTCTCGTAATCTGTGTTTTACTTACATTCTTTGCTAATAATGGTATCATTAACAACCGTAATGACTTTTTAAGAATGACTGAAACTAATACTCTCAACAGAAATTAACCGCATTTTCCTAAACAGTTATTTAGACAATGTCAGTTACCTGCCTAACAAATAAACTTGGCATTGGTTTTCTGCCGACTTTTGGTTCCTGTGCTGCTGTGTTTATAGTCAGAAGATACCTAGTTTCCCCCAGTCATCCAGTTAAGTAGGTTAACCTTGATTCTCTAATGTTCAGCTACAGATTAGAACTGATTGGTCACCTCCAAAATGCCTCTGAATCTTCATACGAACCTGGTCAAGTATTTTTGCACAAGAAATTCGGTTATCGCGGTATCGTATTACAATCTTGGAAGGGAAAGCTGTTTGAACATAATCTACAATCCACCAAAGCAGTGTATGTTTATTTCCTTATCTGCTAATTTAGTTTAGGAAACTGGCGCTTCATGAATCCCCAAAGAAAAAAGAATCTGAAATAAATGTTTATCAAGTTCTAACTGATCAAAATGACATTGAGATTTGTGTACGACACTACTTTTCGAGCTCTAATTTTTAGAGATCTGCTTTAAAACCTGGTATTACTCTCTTACACGATGATAAACGAGGATTTAATTCCGTATACATAGTGCCAGGTTGTTTTTAAATTTTAAACTAACCCCTACAGAAATGGACTACGTTTTCCATGATGACATCATACCGTACGTCCCACAGGATTCTTCTCCAATTAAGAATCGATATTTTAGTGAATTCTTGTTTTATACTCCAGAAAAGGGTAATCCTCACAAATTTTTAAAAAGAGCAGTTTTAAATGATTTGTTATTCAACAATCATTCTTATGTTTCCTGATATTTTACGCACGCGCATCTTGTAAGATGTGCTACAATTATTAACAAGTGATTGTCTAAAAATTCCAAAATAATGATGTTTCGCAGTACATTGTTATAATGCTGCTATGTAGCTATTCGAAATCCTACCGACTGACCTGATTCAAATATCCCAATACGACCCCAAATACTGTTCCCAAATCTCCAATATATCAGAATACAACACCGTTATTCATGATATTCTTATCATTATCTAGCAACACTTCGACGCCCGAAGACTTACACGAAAGAATGAAGTCACTTGAATATCTTTGTCTGTCTATTGTATCCTCTTTTTTTTCCATCAGCCCAGTCTGCTTCATCTTGTGACTTGGCATGCTTGGTGACGTCACACAAATCATCTGAGATCACATTTTCTTCAGGCGTAGCAACTGGCTGCATTCCGAGACCAGGCTGAAGGAGTTCAGTGAATCGTTTTTGAATATCTGCAGCATGCTGTTGTGTAGTGGCAGCAGTTTTCACTTGATTGCAGATAATATTGATCGGAAGATCAGAGAGACCAAGTTTTTCGAACCAATCTAACCCCAGAAGGTTGAGAGGAGACTTGTCGATGTAGCGTGTTCCATCGAAGGTTGTACCTCTGAACGAAACACAGCTATTGAGTCTACGATGAAGGTGGAGATGACCCCCACAGGCATTGTCAGATGTCTGTGACGATGGTTTGATGCGTGGTTGACCCAAGGTTCGCTAAGTCTCTTCTGACAGAACAGTGATATCTGATGCGGTATCCAACTGCAGCCGAACCGCCTGACCATTGATTGAGGGTCAGAATTTTGCGTCGAGTAGAAGCATCAGTGTGGAAGACTGCTGCTAAACTCCTTGATGCGTCAAACGGCTTTCTAGGGAAACAACGCTGCGTCTGTGAATTTCGCCAGCCAGTGAATCGGGTTGATTGGCAAAAACCGCTTTTGTGACCAACTTTCTGACAGCGATTGCACACATGCTGCTTGAATAGACAAAATTTCACATAATGCCAAGCTATACAGCACCGACATGGTGAGAAGGACTTCTTATGAGCCGATTTGGAATGATTACAAATAGGAATGGCGTTCGACGGACCAAAGGTTTTCGATCTGGAAGATTTGTTCTGCTGCTGAACAACGTGAACTTTGGAACCACCCTGGCCCTCAGATTGAACCAAAGTGATGTCACGCTGCAAGTTGATAATGCGTTGGTACTCATTGGCGATCACATTGAATGTCAGTGTTGGGTCTTGTTTGGGGCGGCTAAGCAACCGAGTTCTGATGTCGGAGAATTTGGGTGATTGAAGACTGCATATGAATATGAGGGATTTAAATTGGTTGTCAGTGAGGGGTCTGAGTTTGAACCGTCTGCACTCACGGTTGACAATGCCAATATGGGTCAAGAAGTCGCCGGACTCATTCATGACCAACTTTAAGCAGCGGTAGCGAGTATTGAAAAGAGAGTGCTGATCACCAAAAAGTCGGCGGAGGGACTGAACAGTAGCGCCGAAGGAACGGTCTCGTGGGTTTTGCGGTGGAATAAAGTTGCAATACTTGCCCAGATCTGACGGACCAAGTTTCCGAGGGAGAAGACGCACTGTCCAGGAATCACCCCTGTCAGAAAAGTCAACTTTGAAAAGATCTTCATAACCTTTAAACCAGGTATCGAATGTAATATTGGCGTCAGGATTATAAAGAAACTCTGAAATACTACTGGCCACACCAACGACTGACTGAGGAATTGTCGCTGTATATGAGACTTGAGAAGAGATGTGCGCCTGAGTAAGTATCCCCATCAGCTTCAGCTGTTGTACAAACAATTTTTCAAATTTAGCTGGATCCATAATTAGTCACCAACTCGTTTGCCCAATCCCCGTCACCAGTTGTTATAATCCTGCTGTGTAGCTATTCGAAATCCTATCGATTGACCAAATTCCAATACCCCAGTAAGACACCAAATACTGTTCCCAAATCTCCAATTTATCAGAACACAACACCGTTAGAAGTTGTTTATGGAATCGAGTACAGAAGGAATGAATAGAGGAAGGAATGGAATAATAAGCTCAACAGTGGTGGGTAGCGAAAGCAAGGGAGATGGAAAAGGCAACGGCGATAGGATACTATTCAGACTTACCAGGGGAACCGATATTAAGAACCCGAATGTGAGTGAAACTATCTCGGAAAAAAATGGCTGTATCATTCATTCTCAATCCAGGAGATTGGACCGATGGGCAGAACACTTTAGGTATCAGTTCAGTTGGCCTCCAGCCATAATTCGGTTGCCCACGATCCCCAGTCATCCTGAATGGCACATCGATTCAAGCCCTCCCAATCTTTATGAAGTTGGGAAAGCTATAGGAAATCTGAAGCGGGAAAGTGCAGCGGGTCCTGATAGACTGACAACTGAGATTTTTAAGGATGGTGGTCCAGCTTTAGCAGCCAGGTTGACTGAGATTTTAGGTAGAATCTGGGAACTGGACGCAATCCCATCTGACTGGTTTTTGCCGTTTCTATCGAATTCAGACCACTGAGATTAAGTTCACTAAAACTTAAAATCTCAACTTCTTAATTGACCTCAAAGATTGTTCACCAAAATGATTATATCAAAACAAAACTGTTTCATTGTCATGCACTCTTAGTGCTTGTAATAAAATATTAAGCGTAAAAATTATATTGTATCCCACACAACTATTTAAAAGAAATCTCATGTTCTAAATAAATTGTTACTCATTTCTGCTTGATTGTCTGAATGTTAAGTTTCGTGAAATGTTCTATCCATTAAAATTCTACATGTTTGCACATATTTTCTTACAAAAGATCCATCGTATATTCCAACCGACCATTTAAGACGCTGGATTGAGGCGCGAAAGCATGGTCTGGAAGTTACATCAGTACACCGTGAAGTGACTGAAGGTATTCAAACAACAGTAATGCCTTTTTACATGGGCCGTCAAGTAGCAGAGGTAAGTTATAAAGTATGAAACTTATGCAGCCAAAATGATTTTTTTATTACTAAACATAACCTGAGTTCTTTGTATCTTACAGGATAAAAATAAAAATGATTTACGCTACGTGAGTTTGTATTTCTCAACTTTGTGCTTAATACCTAATATTTAAACTTCAAATTTTGAGATAACAATTTCTAAAGATCAAAATAGGTACCCCGAAAACACGTAAATAATGAAACTGTTTGATCACTAAATGTCGACCATTGCCATTAACACCAAATCCTTAGTGCTTGTTGAATTCCGTTGATACCTCGACCGTAGCTGCTACATTGACGTAGTGGTCGGGCTTGACTATCGTGATGACCCAACCGAGTTATATTGGCTGGGATATATGTTCGTGAAGGCTATATACCATACCAGACAGGTTGATCGGAGAACGATGAGACTAAAAGCAGCTACTCAAGGTCTGAGGGCGAAATCGTACTGCTGACTGTAGAGAGGTGTGACAACAGTAAGGTGTTTCCCTCGGACAACTAGCATCTGCAGCGAATCTGCATTCTGACAAGGAAGGAAGGGTTAGAAAAGGTCGACCCTAAAAATGTCACCTCACCTTACTTCACGGATTTCCGTCTCCGGCGGCAGGGGCTGCCAATAAGGGCTTTAAAACGAGCGGAGCTAATGCTCTAAAGACCTTTCACAAAAAGATCGTACGTAACCGACCTCAAGCAGTTGACCCTTGTGCTCTGCGGTCACGCTCCCAGGTCTAATCTACTTATCTACCTTCCTTTTCAGGTTCCTTAAGAAACACCCTTCCAGGGTGTGGGCAGACGAGAAGTGACAACCGCCCTCATACTCGTAACAACACGCGAGACCGAATCGGTCACAATCAAATCCTTCCTACCCCCTTAACATCTCTCTTACCTCCACGATTAACTCTTGTCACATTCTTTTATGACCCCGTAACGCTAATGCAAGCAATGCGAGTTCGCGAAACGTTATTCCTGGTCTCCTGAAACCCCGTTCTAAATTACATGTTGGAGCACTTAATGTCCGAACATTGTGTCAAATAGGTCAACAGGCTTCCCTAGCTAGGACTTTAGAATCTTGCGCCATCGATGTATGCTGCGTCTCGGAAACACATATACAGGATCCTAGTAAAATCATTGATTTGATTTCACCTTGTCAAAATAAAGAAGCAGCTCGATTTACTCTTCGTGTATCTGGAAGCCCAGATGCTGCTCCTCGAGGTCTCGCTGGTGTAGGTATAGCATTGAGTCCTAGGGCAGAACTGGCTCTCCGAGACTGCATTCCAGTAGATAGTTGCCTGTGCGCAGTCCGACTGAACGGGACAGTAAGGACTCAGAAAGATAGGGACACTCGCCGTTGCCTTTTTGTTGTCTCTGCCTACGCCCCCCTCGCTGACTGCAGTTTAGACGAGACAGAAGATGAGTTATACATAAACCTCTGTAACCTTCTGAAAGACGTTAAGCGCTATGATATAGTAATAATGGCTGGTGACTTTAGTGCTCAAGTAGGTAGTTAAGTGAACAGGAAAGACACCTGAATGGATCTTATGGTTTCGCGACTAATCGAACAGATGATGGCGACCGACTGCTGCAACTATGCTCAGATAACCGCCTCTTCCTAGCAAATACTGACTTTAGGCATAAGGAGAAACATCTTTCGACCTGGTGACCCCTAAAGTCGTCTCAACGTTGGACCCAACTAGATCACATCGCCATCAGCCACCGATGGAGAGGTTCGATAGAAGACTGCCGCTCGTTCTGGGGCACATGCCTAGATTCAGATCATGCTCTAGTGCGAGCGCGTATTTCTTCGAGGCTTACTAGACGTAGGAAAGACACCACAAGAAAACGTCTTAGGGTTCAACCTAACTATAGCAGAGCTATGAATATATACCAGGAACAACCAGAGAAACGGTTAGGCAGCCATGCATCACCCTGACATCCATAAAACTGTGAAAATAGAAGTGATATCATCTAGTAAGGTAAACCATAAACTGTATTTCATTAGCGTTTAACGAACTAATAGACGCACGAACACTCAACTCACTTGGCTCTGAACATGATGAAGAGCAAAGACAGCTTAAGCGCAGGCTGATAAAAAGCATACGCAACGACCGTGAACAGTGGTGGGTGGCGAAAGCAAGAGCGATGGAAAAGGCAATGGCGGTAGGCGACTAATCAGACTTATCAGGGAAACCGGTATTAAGAACCCGAATGAGAGTGAAACTATCTCGGAAGACGATGGCTGTATCATTCATTCTCAATCCAGGAGATTAAATCGATGGGCAGAATACTTCAGTTGGCCTTGAACCACACTTAATTTACCCACGATCTCCAGTCATCCTGAATGGCAAATCGATTTAAGTCCTCCTAGTCTTTATGAAGTTGAAAAGGCTATAGGAAATCGGAAGGGAGGGAGAGCAACAGGTCCTGATAGACTGACCGTTCAGATTTTTAAGGATGGTGGTCCATTTATAGCAGCTAGGTTGACTGATATCTTGGGTAGAATCTGGGAATTGGGCGTAATACCATCTGACTGGTCTCAATCACTGATTGTCCCAGTCTGTATGAAATGACGGATGTTCCCTCTTGACAATCATAGAGAAATCAGTCTAGTTGATATAGTTTCTAAATTATTGGCCTCAATCCTATGACGCCTGACTAGAGCTCGTGAAAATGTTCCAGAGTAGTACATTAACGTTATACAAGCTCTCTACTCGAATACTATTGGTAGAGTTAGATCTTATGGCGAACAGTCATCGTAATTCTTCATTGCAAGTGGTGTCGATAGTATAGTCTCATTTGGTGAAGGCGCTGAGAAAATGCAGTCTTCTGACCACCCTAAGCAACAAACGCTTAGGGCAAGCCATATTAGTACACATTACAATTTATGGCCGAGTTATTTATCAGACAGACTTTTCATGTAGTCGTAATAGTTGCGCAAAAATCCCGAACAGAACGAAATAATCAGTATTGGAGGTAAGCTCTGCTACATGTTTTGTATCATATACGTAATGACCAATGAGGGATTAGGATAGCTAGTGAATGAGTCACGACCTGGTAAAAACATTATTCAGACAAGCCGCAACATGCTCACAGCACAAAATGACACTTTTAATTTCTTTTGTATTTTAAATAGTGGCGCTATTTAATCCGATTAGAAAATCTAGTGATGGACCGTGTGCAACTCCTTGAACGCTTCTTGAAATTTTTCCTAATACCTGGGAAGCTCAAGTCAACCGGAGGGAAAGGAGTAGTAGGGACGGTAAGTGTTACCAAATATTTTACTTCAATACGACATTGATTTTCCAAATTCGCTGACAAAATGATTTCATCATACAATTTTAGGGACTATTTTGATAGGCATCAGCACTTTGTGTTGGGCCAACTTACTAGAACGAAAGTGGACTAAATACTGTAATTCGCGGTAAATTTCTCAACGCTCCACTATCGTTACATTCAACAACACAATAATTTTAGACATCAGAAAAAAAAGCTTGTCTAAGCGAACTAGCGGGATCGTTTGATACTTATCTTACGCTTTGCTTGCTCTTTAAATTTTAGCAACCCGTCCTCTCTCCAGAATGCCCAGTCTTTCAGTATCACAGTCATACTCACTTCCCTGAGGAGTGGGCATATATGTGGGGAACATTTCGATTTGAAAGAAACAGTGGTGCTAGTTTAGATGTGAAGATACCGGCCTTACCTCTGTGTGATCCCACGTACTTCTCAGACTCGAATAAAAAATGACAGTTTACGAACTAAATTTCTTGATCTTGACACTAAAAATAATTTGTCTATTTTGAAACTATACCATGGACCACGTTATCACAAAATTGTAACCATAATGAATAAAAAACTTAGATTTTTGTCGAAATTCTGTTTATTTGTACTACACAAAATGCAACGAAATGGTTAGCTTTATTACTTACTAAGAAAATGCACATGTATTTTATAAAATATCTTGCATAATTCATGAATTTCGAAACCAAGAAGTTATTCTTAAAAGTTGCAATAAGAAGGGAATATCTCAAAATAAACGGTAGATTAAAGTGCTTTTGCAACCCAAGGTAATGATTCCAAGGAGAGCAAGGATAAGGACAAAGAAAAACAAATAATTTGATGTAGGTATAGTTCTAGTCTTTTAAACTCCTATTTGCATGTAACTACGAAAATCTGTACCTAAGGCGCTTATCTGGGATATACAGAAACGGTGAGGTAGGATAATTTGTTCCTCTTATTTATGATAAAATGTATAATGTAAATTATACTTCTCAAAATTATTACACCTAAGAAAGCTTGAAGTAAAGCGATAGTGTATAGATAAGTATTTACTAGCAATAAATCATATATACAAATAGGATGGAATAAAAACTGAATAACTAAGAAATCTTCAAAATAAAAGGCAGTTTAGACAGCATAAAGTGGTGACCGTAATGTGGCTTGTAATCACAGTATTTTCCGACTAAGAATAAAGCATTTGTAATGAAAACGGACAGCATGGTTGTGATCGGAACGGAGGTTCGCGAATATGCGGGATGAGGCGGCCAGCAGTTACGGTTCTTTACTTTCCATCGCTTTAATTCTAACGATGAAAAAGGCAACTGATAAGCACAGTATATTTTTGCTGATGAGTTTCTTCCACTCACCTACCCAATAAGCAGTGTAAAATTACCTGGGACAAATGACTGCATGATATTAGATAATCACTTTCGATTTCATTTGATGACGAAACAGTTATGAAATTCGTTATTTAGGCGATTCATGTACCAGTAAGTTTTTCTTTAATTCGTGTTGACGACTTGTTTCGTACGTATTCAGATTTCGGAACAATACTAGTTGGTTCCGTTGGTGTGCATGAGGAATTGTTACGACTATCATTATCACCAGTGCTAGTGGCAGTCATATCTCCTATCCCAGAACTAACCGAATCCTCAGAATCATGAACTGAACCAGGGGAGGTCATTTTGTCAATTTGTTTGGGAAGTTTATGAGACTGATTGTCGCAGATAACTGCGCAAGAATCTTCCGTCGATGAAATTACTTCTGGTAACACGGAGGATCCATTATCCACTGGATTTTCAGATGTGGGGGATACATGCACTCCAGCATCAATCGCTATATTGTCTGCGGCTGCATTTTTATCAAGATTACCTTTTATGTCTGAAATTGTTGATAACTCCCTCAGCATCGTATTTTGGGATACTGAAGTAGAGTCATTTGTATTAATGACTGTGAAGTTAATGGGTATAGGCGTCAAACCTATTGAATTGAGCGCTCCACGTATGGACTGAGCAGAGTTTTGGATTTGCAGCCCTGTACTATTCATATGCGTGGGTAATCTCTGTTGTATATGCACAGGTGGTTGCAACACTATGGGATAAATAAAGTTATTTGTATGTTGTGGGAGATTTGAAACCGCTAAGCCATACCTATCTGATCTTAAATTATCTGATATCTCAGGGACTGAAGCATTTTGGATTGTTTGGTAGTTATAGCTTTGCATCGGATATACATTTTGTTGTAAACGCTGTGAAGAGTTTCGCATGCTAGTAGATTGTAACGACAGCTGTGAAGCGGTATAGTAAGCTGGCAATGGGACAGGAGTAGACATATGAAAGGGATTAGTTTGAGATACTGGATTCTGAAAATAAGGTGTTGCATTTGGGTGTTGCGCTACAGCTGACATAGCAGCTACTGCTTGGAGGTGATTCAAAAGTGCATTTGACGGTCGTTGTTGATTAGCACCTATTGGATTGATATTTGAAGAGTTGGTTAAAAACTGGTTGGAAAAATACTGCGGTTGATGTCCATAATGACTTGAATTAATATTGTTACTGGTGCTTGTAGTCATTGATGCTAAAGCAGCTGCTATAGCTAGATTGAAAGGCTGATTATTGTTACTCGTTTGTGGTATTGAAAATACGGAAGAATATGGCTCTGTGACATTCCCCGTCTGACGAATAAAATAATTTGGCAAATGTGCTTGACGTCGTATTGGTACTATACCTGAATATGTGCTGTTTGAAGCTGAGAGATGTGGGCGCTGATGAAAATTCCATCCGACTGGTTGATTTTTATTATACTCTGTTGGACTCAGCTGATTTGTTGACTGAGGAACTATCACATGTGAAACACGAGAATATGGATTATACTGTTTTGTAGGCTGCTGGAATACCCAAGGGGTAGTATCCATTGAAGATCCTGCTGTGCTTGTACAATCTATGTGAACACTATTGTTCTCGACATCGCATAGAGGTAACAACAGTGGGATAGACATTTGATGAGACCCAGGTGACATGCAAACATTCGTTGATACCGGGGTTTGAACTAAAGTATTTGTTTGTAGAGGTTCTTTGTTTGTTTCAAGATTCGTGTGTCCAGATCTTATGACACCATCGGATCGGAACTTGTCTGGACCAGAAGTTCTCATCACAACCACAGGCTGAGGACTTGTAGTGATTCGCTGATCAGGCAAGTATGGTGATTGGAGAGAGAAAGAACCAATCAATGAGGTTAAGTTTTGAGACACGTCAAAAGTCGATAATCCACTCCCAGGTTGCACACTTGTCGAAGTATCGAGATTCGTAGACAAACCGGGATCTGAAATAATATTACACAAGTGATGAACAAAATATACTTGTTTTAAATTATAAAAAAGAACGCAGTAGACAATAAAGCAGTGATAAGTCTCTTGATAAAGGATTCAACAAATTAAGCCCTAAATAAAGCTGCGATTCAATTTTGGTAACAGGGAGTCGATCGCTTTCTCTAGAAAGAGGAAATACGTTGAATAATTCATAATAATCAGAAAACTGCTGATCGTGCAACTATCTAAAACCAAGTGATTTCTTTAAGCTAAGCTAATCCAACTGTACGTTATATTTTAGCTGTCGAAACCGTGATTAAGTGTTAAAGTATCAAGTATTTGAAACCACACAGTTACATTTGAACTTCTATCACAGGTAAACGTAAATAAATAACTCTGATTTTAATGTACATAATATAACTTACAACCATCAATGCGGCGAACACCACGCATTCCCGCATTCATGTCTTCAATACAAACGATTTTACTTCCAAGTAAAGCTTGTTCCACTTCTTCATGGGTAGTGTTTAGAGCTGCTAAACGAGGAGCTTTGATAAGCTTTTCGATTGGCAAAATCAGTCGGTCAACAAGCATATTCAGGAACGTTTGGTCTCGGCATAAGTTTTCTCGAGAAAAATAATGATGACTTAAATGAAGAGAACAGCAACAACATGCAATTTAGACACCATTCGCGAAATTGGAATAACATCACAAAATATAGAACTTTTCAATGTGACTGAATAAATGTGGCACAGTTGAGTCGGACTTACTCGAATAAAAGATATTACAAGACAATAACATCTGAAATTGTAAAAAGCCGCTTTGGTTATAGCGTCAATGCATACTTTGATCTATTATATCTAAAATATTGTCTATTGTCAATTACTGGAGTGAACAACTTAGGTACGGCTACTATTGCATTGCATCTAATGGTGAAATCCATTAGACTCTGAACTTTTTTGTAACATCGTAATTCACCTTGTGTATACAAACCGGAAATTATTGCGAGCACATAAACTGTAATTCCTACATGCAGAGTAGCTTTTGTGTACCTGCTATTTACTAATGGTGTCTGTTGTACAGAACAGACAGTTTAGATTCGCTATAGCCATTGTGGTAACACAATATAGGAAGTTTAGTTTTGAAAGTAGAATAAAACTGATTATGTTAGGGAATACTTTGGGAGTATGTGATGCATGCTATTATCATGTCCGCAACAATTTAATGAGCTACTATGGTAACGAAATATCTAACCCAGCTAGGTTTCTGGCTAATGTCCGAATAGTGCGTCAAATAGGGAAACAGACTTCCCTAGCTAGGAATTTAGTCTCGCGCTATCGATGTATGGTGCGTCTACGAAACGCGCATACAGGATCCGAGTAGCGTCACTCACTTGACCTCATGATTTCACGATAAAGGAGAAACTCGAATTGCCTTTTGTGGCCGGAAGCCCCGATGCTGCTTCTCGAGGTCTCGCTGGTGTAGGTATAGCATTGAGTCCTAGGGCAGAACTGGCTCTCCGAGACTGCATTCCAGTAGATAGTTGCCTGTGCCCAGTCCGACTGAACGGGACAGTAAGGACTCAGAAAGATAGGGACACTCGCCGTTGCCTTTTTGTTGTCTCTGCCTACGCCCCCCTCGCTGACTGCAGTTTAGACGAGACAGAAGATGAGTTATACATAAACCTCTGTAACCTTCTGAAAGACGTTAAGCGCTATGATATAGTAATAATGGCTGGTGACTTTGGTGCTCAAGTAGGTAGTTAAGTGAACAGGAAAGACACCTGAATGGATCTTATGGTTTCGCGACTAATCGAACAGATGATGGCGACCGACTGCTGCAACTATGCTCAGATAACCGCCTCTTCCTAGCAAATACTGACTTTAGGCATAAGGAGAAACATCTTTCGACCTGGTGACCCCCAAAGTCGTCTCAACGTTGGACCCAACTAGATCACATCGCCATCAGCCACCGATGGAGAGGTTCGATAGAAGACTGCCGCTCGTTCTGGGGCACATGCCTAGATTCAGATCATGCTCTAGTGCGAGCGCGTATTTCTTCGAGGCTTACTAGACGTAGGAAAGACACCACAAGAAAACGTCTTAGGGTTCTACCTAACTATAGCAGAGCTATGAATATATTTCCGGAGCAATTAGAAAGACAGTTAGGCGACCGTATAAGTGATTACCATCCAACTGGACTGAGTCATGTTGGTAGGTGTCGACTACCTGGTTGAGGTCCGCGAGATTATAGTAATCGATGTGAAGTGGCAACCCGGAATGACATTGCTCGAAATCGTTTGTGATGGTGCATGGGCATCCTCTCTTTGTATTTTCTCAAATTCTAATCACCTGGATTATACTTCTTGAATATCTTCGAACCCTAATAATCTCCATTACCGTTAATCCTTCTACTCTCTCTACTATAGGATTTGAACTGACAATTGTGCCTCTGTCCTAGTGTGGTATGGCAACCTGAACTGATATATGCACGCACTAAGTTCTACGTTGTAACTGATTGACTGGCATTAGGTATAGTTAGGGCCAAAGCGGTTTATAATTTGGTGCCTTCGGAATGTTATTTCGGCAGTAAGTGACTGGGCATTAATGAGAGTAGTCTTATTATATGCTTATGAAACCTGGTCTCTTCGAACTTAATATATATGAGAGCTTTCATGGTTAGATTACCATCGTCTTCGAAGGATTTTTCACATCCACTGGCAACAATATGTTAGGTATACAGAAGTTGGACACGGCGACAGTAATCCAAACGGTGTCATCATCTTGAAACACCGACTTTGATCGCTCGGACATGTGCAACTTACGTCGTCCCAGCCTACCACACATCGCGCATTGCTTGCCAATTTTGGGACTGGTTGGAAAAAGCAGAAGTAGTCACTACATGACATGTGTCGTGGTATGACAGAGCGGTAGGGGACTGGCATCTGTTGTTCCTTCACGATACACAGGTTGGAGATGGTGCAACACAAAAGCTTAAGACGTTACCAGACATGGTTCAGAAAAGAAGCTAGTGGCGGCCCTGATGTGGCTTTTTCTTATTTTCTATATAAGTGAGAGGAACTTCTTTAACTGAAAGCATTCTTTCCAGTTGTATTTTACTTAACTGAACTGCCTCTCCCACCATTACTATTTTACACATATAAAGGATTTTTGCTCACTTTCACTTTGTGTATACAACCTCATTTTTATTGTGGTTAATACATTTTTCGGTCCCTTAGTCAGCTGCAACGTAGAACTTCATATGTAAATACATCAGTCCATGTTGCTATACCACATTGGTACAGAGACGAAATTGTCCATTCAAATCCCAAAGTGGACTGGAATGCAGTCTCGGAGAGCCAGTTCTGCCCTAGGACTCAATGCTATACCTACACCAGCGAGACCTCGAGGAGCAGCATCTGGGCTTCCAGATACACGAAGAGTAAATCGAGCTGCTTCTTTATTTTGACAAGGTGAAATCAAATCAATGATTTTACTAGGATCCTGTATATGTGTTTCCGAGACGCAGCATACATCGATGGCGCAAGATTCTAAAGTCCTAGCTAGGGAAGCCTGTTGACCTATTTGACACAATGTTCGGACATTAAGTGCTCCAACATGTAATTTAGAACGGGGTTTCAGGAGACCAGGAATAACGTTTCGCGAACTCGCATTGCTTGCATTAGCGTTACGGGGTCATAAAAGAATGTGACAAGAGTTAATCGTGGAGGTAAGAGAGATGTTAAGGGGGTAGGAAGGATTTGATTGTGACCGATTCGGTCTCGCGTGTTGTTACGAGTATGAGGGCGGTTGTCACTTCTCGTCTGCCCACACCCTGGAAGGGTGTTTCTTAAGGAACCTGAAAAGGAAGGTAGATAAGTAGATTAGACCTGGGAGCGTGACCGCAGAGCACAAGGGTCAACTGCTTGAGGTCGGTTACGTACGATCTTTTTGTGAAAGGTCTTTAGAGCATTAGCTCCGCTCGTTTTAAAGCCCTTATTGGCAGCCCCTGCCGCCGGAGACGGAAATCCGTGAAGTAAGGTGAGGTGACATTTTTAGGGTCGACCTTTTCTAACCCTTCCTTCCTTGTCAGAATGCAGATTCGCTGCAGATGCTAGTTGTCCGAGGGAAACACCTTACTGTTGTCACACCTCTCTACAGTCAGCAGTACGATTTCGCCCTCAGACCTTGAGTAGCTGCTTTTAGTCTCATCGTTCTCCAATCAACCTGTCTGGTATGGTATAGAGCCTTCACGAACATATATCCCAGCCAATATAACTCGGTTGGGTCATCACGATAGGCAAGCCCGACCACTACGTCAAGGTAGAGGCTATGGTCGGGTTTCCGGTTCCTACATGTACCGAAATTTATGTTTCATATAAATAGATGCTTTTTCATTCTTCATAGTTATCAATTCGCAGTCATCAAGTGAACGCTTTCTTTCTAAAGAACTTACATGTTTCAAGTGATCATTTTATCACCTTTAAAAATTAAAAATAGATATGACAAAAATTGCGTCTGTTAAACTGTATAACGTAAGTTGTAGTCTTTAAGCAAACTACACTGGTGAAGTTAAAAACTTACGTGAAATACAAAATATAACTATATTTAGATGCGAATAACAAGTAATTTTCCCGACTTGCTGTTTTAGGGGCATAAGCACACCCATTTGGCAGTAAACCCAACTCGACACGGCCAGATGGTTTGGGTTCTGGGAGTAATTTTTCGAGCTGTTCGTATGTGACGATTTGATAGCCTTTTTCCAGCACATCGGGAGAGCTTGGAAAGTTAATTTCATTAATATGAGGGTCATTATAGCCAGCAAAAAACGGAAAATACAATGACCTTTGATATGATGGTTGGTGGGTATACGCAGTGGTGCCGCTAGGCAAAGGAGAGACAATACTAAGCCCTGGTTGAGGTAGTATGTATCCAGCTTGAGGTAACATTGTACTTTGAGTGCGATTTTGATCCATAAACCTAAAAAGGATAAGCTTAATGAAGCTATGTATTCAAATGTATTGTGTTGCTGTTTATACATAGTGGTTTTAAAAGAAAATCAATTTTACATACATTCAGCTGTTTTTAAAAAACATACAAAAATATGGACCCAAAGTTATGGAACAGAAGTGTATTGGGGAACACTTATTATCCTCCGTCCAAAAGTTTAAAGACTAGTTGCGAGTTTCGTAGGACCTGACAAAAGTGTGCATTAACACAAACTGCAACTCTTCTGAATAGCGAAAGTTAATAAAATAATTATCAAATGAAAAGACCATACAAAGAATATGACTATATATGAGGATGAAATCGATGAAAAAACTGCGAAATATGAACACTGAGTTCAAAGAAACACTACGGAAAATCACACCATCATTAGGACTAGCATCAAGGCATGACACCGATCTCCAAGTATTTACGACTATAATCGTGATCCACGACATAAGTGGCAAGCTTTTGGTTAGTCAGTGCAAAACACTAGTTAAGTGGGTTTGAACTTTTCCCGGTTAGAGTACCGAATGGTTTACCGCCATAATTATGTCACCCTGCAATTTTTAATGTAATTATCGTTGGTACCAACGGTTGACAAACTTCGGTTAAGTGAGACTAGTAAGTAATGATCCATTAAACAAAGATAACTGCATTTAGTCAAGTCTAGTTAAAGTGCATTGTAGCTGACCATATTAATTCCAAGATGGGGACATTCTAGAGCGGAGATATATTTGGTTATTTGTGGACCAGCCAATTCTAATATAAGCCATCATAGCGGCTTAGAACATACTCAACATTACTAGTTTATATATTTTAAGTATATAACTATGGGGAATATTAGTTCTCTTAACTTTGAAAAGACCGGATTCTTTCAAAGATTGATGGATAGACACAGGAAAATTAAATAGTAATGCACTATGAAGTGGATTGATTTAAAGGGTGAACTCTTACGACGTTAAAGGTCGATTAGAGAACCATGAGACTAAAAGCAGCTACTCAAGGTCTGAGGGCGAAATCGTACTGCTGACTGTAGAGAGGTGTGACAACAGTAAGGTGTTTCCCTCGGACAACTAGCATCTGCAGCGAATCTGCATTCTGACAAGGAAGGAAGGGTTAGAAAAGGTCGACCCTAAAAATGTCACCTCACCTTACTTCACGGATTTCCGTCTCCGGCGGCAGGGGCTGCCAATAAGGGCTTTAAAACGAGCGGAGCTAATGCTCTAAAGACCTTTCACAAAAAGATCGTACGTAACCGACCTCAAGCAGTTGACCCTTGTGCTCTGCGGTCACGCTCCCAGGTCTAATCTACTTATCTACCTTCCTTTTCAGGTTCCTTAAGAAACACCCTTCCAGGGTGTGGGCAGACGAGAAGTGACAACCGCCCTCATATTCGTAACAACACGCG